TTTACATTTAAAACAACTGTTAAAAAGTGTGATTAACTAACAACGTATTTTTAACCTTAGATACGTCGTTGTAGATACATCAGTAAATCTAAAAATTATATAAATTATTAAAATAAAAAAAATAAGGTTATGAAATATTCTATATAAATTAAATTATTGTCCTTTAAAATGAATGGTATTAGCAAAATATTGCCGAATTGATGGTGTCTTGTCTACAAGAGATTTGTTGAAATAATTAAATGTTATATATATAGATACTGATGAATGATATGGCGGATTAAATGAATGTAGTGATTAGGGGCTGTCTATTAATTACGTGTAGAGTTTGACTATCTTCCTCTTCCTCGTGTATTGTACTGTACGGTACAATGATGTACAGTATATTTGGCCAAGATATTATGATGAATCAATTGTTTTTTTTTTCCTATAAAGAATGAATATGTCTCTAAGATGATCGCGTCGTCGTCAGCCATTTTTGATTTATTATTATTTCTTCCCGCTTGATAGCGTACGAATGAAGTACAAATCGCGCAATAGATATATCGTGGGTAGAGGACAATAAGCGGCTAACTGAAACCATAATTTTCAGGAAATGGGCTTCCGCTAATGGTGGATGGCGCGATTTCAGCTTTGAAAAAAGTTTTATTGTTGCAGCGCTGATTGTGAACATTTTTATTTATTATTATTTTTTTAATTGAAAATCAAAATCATTCAGAAATTATGCACAATTATAGCTTATTTTATAAAAGTTATGTCATGGATTATCTACGATATCATATTTCCTAGCTTAAAAATTTATAAATAAATTCACTTATTTATAAATCTTAAATTTGGTGTTTTACGCTCTAATTTCGCTGCATAAACAGTGCAACAGCGAAATTAAGCGGAATTTTTCATAAAACAACGCACCCATTGCTTTATGTTCGTTAGTTATAGTAAAAAACATTGTACTCTATAAGATTACGTTACAAAAATTGTTGCAATATCTTCAACCTGTTAGAATTAATCAGGGACATAGAAAAATAGCTCGATTATCTATACACAACACGGTAAGGAAATATGTATTTTCAATTCGTTAGAGTGAACATATGACATGAATCTGAAAGGATATTAACACAATGTTCATCAGTCAGAGACCTTTGTAGCCGTTTACGGGTTTCTAATTCGTGCCAACTGAATACCCAATACTATTACTGAGCTACCACCAGCCTGTACAGCTCCTTGACATGCTGGATTCATTTATTCATGGGGTTTTCTCCACGAGGACTCTTCCATCTGCCCGAATCAGTTGGAAACGTTATTCGTCAGACCACGCTACTCGTTTCCAGTTTTTCAATGTCCGGTGACGATAGTCCTGAGCCCAGAACTCTGTCATAATGAAAGTAATGGCACTCGAGTTGGGCGTCAGCTATTAACGTCCATATCATGAAGAGAACGTTGTACAGTTCTCATGCTGATGTTACTAGAGGCTTCAGTTATCCTACCATGTGTAAATTCGCTTAAATTATGATAATTTGCCATTCTCAATATGCAATCATTCTTTACACTTCCACAGATGTTTCTTGTTATGTACTGTACAGTACATGTTGTATTAATATTTAGACAAAAACAATTATGAGAAAGAAGGTACTGCAACATTTTCTGAATCGGATCGACTATCCCAGTTTTTTTTGGCACGTCAGTGTATTAAGTAATAAGTTCAAAATTTTCGAAATTTATTTATACGAACATATAATCTAATTTAAAGAAATAGTATTAGCCATGATTTAGTATGATTTTGTTTCTCTTTTTGATCCGTGGGCAGAAGGGAGCTTTTTAACCTCTTTTTTAAAGACCATCATGAGTTCGGTGAAAATCACAGTGTGTCTACCGGCTGACGAGGAACAGGGCCTGACTAACATATTTAAGGATCACCCCCAAAAATTTTTGGAGTTTTTGACCCTTCCGGAATCGATTCCAGAAGGATCAAAGATTGGTGTACCGACCAACGCCTTAATTGCCTAAGATTTCGTATGATTAATCATTTTTATCGTTTATTAGTCCTACTGTCGTTTTGTTTTTCATACAGGCCTACATCAATTTACAATAAAATAAAATTTAGAGAATGATGATGATTATATTTGTGATTTAAGTACAGTACGATACTCAGTTGATACAGCTGTCAAATGATATACCAAACTAAATTCAAGATGTAGCTGCTTAATTTCTGTTACTAAAACTTCCGAAACGTTTTTTCGTCAGACCATCCATCATTTTCAACATACAGTAGAACCTCGATTATCCGGAGTAATTGGGGATGAAGGTAGTCCGGATAAGGAAAAATTCGGATAATCGAAACAAATACTTTAATTTGTCTTTTAATGATAATACAACACGTTTTCTTTTCGATGACATATCGGTAATATTAAAAGTAAATACTGTATTTAAATCGTGATCAAATTTTCAAGAAACAAACGTTCGTATTGAATTTGGACTACTACTGACCAACGCTAACAGACTACCTATTGTTTAAAAGGCCCTCTGGTGGCGCAAGAAGACGGATTTTATAAAATAAAAAGCAGTTGAAACTGCATTTTTATGAATAAAAATTTGACAAACTATTTATCGTTTTATGACGAGTAAAATTTTTTCGTCGCGTTCTCGGCTTTTAAGTAATGCATGAACCTTCGAGGCGCGAGGCCCTTCGGACCGCGAGGCATAGGTGGTGGTCCACGTTGCCCATGCCTTACACCGCCCTTGGTCATAGAAATGATGTAATCTGAGTATAAATTATTTATAAATACGTATGTCAAGTTATATTTTTATTACGACGCAAAATATATTTAAGAGTTTACGACTACTGTGCCGGGTGAGACGTTGTTGAAACAAAAAAAGTTATGCATTCCATCACGTACATAAACAGTGTCGTAATTCGCCAGTGCAAATCAGCAAATTCGTAAAATTTTTGTTTATTTTGAACAATCCGGATAATCGAGGTTCTACTGTACTTAAAAATTAGTACAAATATTAACAACAAAGAATTTGTCCAATGCTATAAGGAAAAATTAGTACAATTTTAATAGTTTTTCAAAAAAAGGTTGTGTGATGCTTTTAAATCCTTTTCTTTTTTGTTTTTACATTCAAAAGTGGACGACAGGATGACCGAGATGATTAAGGTTTAAGTCTAACAATATTGGATCCAGGTTCAAGTTCGGGTTGGAGCCTCAAAAACTTTCAACAGTTATTTGACCTGGATTCCCTCGATATTCGGTCATCCTTATGGTCTAGAATCTAGATGGAGTCGTGATCAGCATAGAAAAAAAGGTTCTCTTAGTATATTCACATGACGGAATTAGAAAGCCATTCCGAATGATACTTTTCTTAATCTAGTAGTTGATGCTAATACGAAAATACGTTGCGAATATAACTTGTATTTCTGCATAGCTATTTCTACAATAGCTAATGGTTTTTAGTTTTTCATTTTGTTCCAAAGAGTTGCATAGCAAATCAACTCTTTGTACATAATTAATTAAATACAGTAAGACCCCGCTTAACTCTGCCCCTATTAACGCTGATTCGATATAGCGCGGTCTGCTCGAAGCCTAAAAGAAGCTCAAAATTTACGTTGATTCAAATTATCGCGGCATTTCATTGATTCGTATATAATACGATTATTCCCAAACACGAACCAATCAGCTAAAGGTGGCAATTCTGGTAGCGCTGTACTTTCCTCAAATCTTTGTTTGTGTAGTGCAATTTTGGGAAAAATATAACATCATGGATGCTTTAGGCAATATCAACTTCTCTTAGCAAGAATTAACTCATAAATGCATGAACGAAGTGTGGAAAAAGTTATGACTGAAGGTATCCAAGAATTCTCAACGAGAAGAGCCTATCACTGTATCGTTAGGTTGACCAAATTGTCAACCTAATCGATACAGCAGGACTAGGAGATGTACTGTACACGAGCAGGATATTGAGGAGTTACTGCAGAAACTTGCAGTAACTCCTCAATATCCTTGAGTTGGTAAGGCTCTCAATATCTGAGAGCCTTACCAACGACGATCTTCAAGAATTGGCGGAACAAGGAATTTATGTAGAACTGGAAAATAGAGATTCTGAAAACGAAGAGTCTAAAGAATTTTTCTACAGATTTCCTTAGTAAAAGTTTGGTAACAATAACCGAAATCATCGATCAAATTGTAACGAATGATCCAGATTTTGAGAGGAGTGTAAAAGCAAGATGAGACGTTTTGGATGCGATCGCCCGCTACGAACATTTGCTTAAGGAAGAAAAAATAAAACGACAAATGAAACTAAACGACTTTATCGCAAAAAACAAGGATTTCAGAAGAGCTAGGACCATAATCACAAAAAATGAACTTTACATTTCTGTGTGCATATGTTTATGTGTTATTTAACATATATTATTATGCAAATTAATATAAAATAACTTAAAATTGAAGTAAAATCTGTTTATTTTTGGTCGCGTGTTCCCCTTTCCCTATTTACTTTGTGTTAAAATGACCTCGTTTAAAGCTGTTTCGAAGCGTTTTTTCGTCAAGGAACGTAACCTTCGCGTTAAGTGGGGTCTTGCTGTAATGTAATGTTTAGTACCCATGTTGTGTATTATTCCTCAGTGCAATTAAGGATATGATCGAGAAAGTGCGTTACGTAATTTTAATTCTGTAACGCTCCATAGTGCATCGCACTAAGGAGCGTTAAAGAGGTGGAAAGTTAATTGAAAATTATGAAAGTAGCGTTACGTAACTTATGGATGATCTCATCCATGTATTGCTTCCTGTAGATTCGTAAAGATCATTATAATTATGTTTAAGGAAAAGAAATACAATCCTCATTTAAATGTAACTCAGATTCATAAGCTAGCGGCGATTAGTAATATGTTTTTACTAATAAGCTTGCGCCTATTAGTAAAAACATAAGGGGCTGTCCATAAATTACGTAACCCAGTGGGTTGGTATGCAGATAATCGTTAATAAAACAATTTATTTTTATTTCAGGTGGTTTCAACATTTGTATGTATTTGCAGGTATATATCATATAGTGATAGCTTGGATTTTATATAAAGTATATTTCAAGAAACAATCTCTTCCTTTATTTATAAATATGGTAATCAAATTGTTTTTGAACGCTGAAATAACTCCTTCAGGTAAGTTAAAGTTTTTGTTAAATGTAATTAGTTAAACATTAATACAAGTCTCTTTCTTAATTTCACCTGCTTATAAACTATTTGACACTATTCCAATGCTTTCCCTTATTATTTATACATAACAGCCAGTAAAGTAAAATTAAGAATGTTTAGAGATGTATTTAACTTATCGCTACAGAATATTTTATCTTATTTCGAAACGTTAAATAAAGGGTTAAAGAAAGAAATATCTTGTTATTTACTCTCAAAATTAAAAACAAAACTAAGTAGAGTTATTTTGACTCGTACCATTTTAGTAGGGTTAAAACTTTATCTTTCCTTTGCACACTTTTACACAACGAGTTAAATTATTCTAGCTCATTGTCTTTACACGACACAAATGTCATGCCTCTTTGACTAAAAGGAAAATGGCGGACGTGTATTCAATTTTCTTTCAACATGACGTCGCTACAACCACTTTATGTAGTATATTATAGTTCGTTGCGTTTACAATAGATATATGGCAAGTTGCCAGGACCCGCAAAATTTTTGACAGTTTTTCTGTCAATAATATTACTTTTCGCTTATTAAAATAATTTATTACCGACTTATTCCTTATCTACAGATTTATGGCATTAAAAGCCGAAGTTTTAGGCTTAGCTTTCATTAGCGATTAAACAGCAGGTTTTTTTTTGTTTTTGCAACTTTTTCATAAGCTTTTGTGGGAGCCTCGGCTGATTTCTGGAAACATGCCAAGAGTACAACAGACTGAGGCGCCATTATAAACTGTATACGACAGAAGTGCGAAAAAATTAAACTATTGCCATACATTTTTTGTTTTTCCTATGCTTTATTAAATAACTTCATTTCTAAATGCATTTTGTACTTTCGTTAATTACAAAATTTATTGTATTTACTTATCTATATAGATATATATCATTGTAATTAACTACCATTTAAAGAAAAATAGTTACAATGATTATGCTTGTCTCATTTCAAATATAGAAACATTTTCTTAAATAAAATAACTGATGTCTTCTTTTCATCATTCCTTACATTGTCAGTGTTTTTGGGTTGACATAAAATACTTTTTCTGTTATTTGATTGTTAAAAAAGATTACTGTTGTTGTTTTATCATTTTCAGATTTTTTACTTTCTATAAATAGTATTTTTAATACATTTTCTATAATATTATTAATTTACATATTAATGATAAAAAGCATATTGGACGATAGAAAACATTATCGAAAACATAAATAAAACGATTTTTCAAAATAGTACTAATATGGAAGCACCTGTAATGGCAAACATGCGAATCTTACATGGATGACCGGAAAAAACTGTAGTAAACTTGTTGATGAATAAAAATTATTTAAAATTATTTTGGTAATTTGAAAGCTTGGATTTGGGAAAATATAAATCTAATTAAACTATTAATTTATTGCTGATGTATTTACGTTAAATTAGCATAATAATTTTGGAAAAGTGGAGAAAACAAAATTTAAATAATTGCAATATCATCTGCGCAATTCAGTACTGTAAATAATTCACTGTTGTTTTTCGTAGGTTTTTTTTCTGTTTTTTTTATCGTTATTATTATGATTGTCAGTTTAGTTCCGATTTTGCCATCTGTCTTTGTTTTATTTACAGTATCATTAGTACATTTGGCCTAATATTAATTATTTGTTTGGAATCTCCAAAAATAACTTGAAATTTTAACATTATCGTTCTTCTTAAAGATGCACAGAGCAGCAGCTATGTGTGTAAGAGGGAACTTAATATATATACAGTATATATAATATACGTTTCATATACAGTAATATGCAATATAAAACTAATGGTTTTGTATTAATATTATGATGACAACGTCATTTAAGAAAATGAAGTTTCATTATTTTCACCGATTGTAGTGCCATAATAAAACCGATAACCTCATCTTATGGTCTCTTTGAAGTCTAACATTTTTTATTTATTATTTTCTTCATTTGTAGGATGAGTATTTTCCGAGTTATTCCAGTGGGTTGATTAAAATGGATCACCCAGCATATTTTTTATTGTTCATTAATCCTTTTTCTTCATGTTATGTAGATTAATGAATGATAAAGCATATTTTTTAATTGTATATTTTAAATTCCTTAAATTTTCTTTTGTTTTAAGAAATTACTAAACTTATTTTATATTTGTTGTATAACAAATAATTACCCTTCTTGATTTCTATTTTCCAGAAAAGTTAAAAAAAAATTATAATTATAATTTTATTTTTTAAGTAATTGTGGTTTAAAATTTTTACAATTTAAAAACATTACTTGTCTTCGGGCATTATCAGGCAGCAAATCTTTTGTGCGTAAACTCATTTTATAATTTAATAATTTTTGAATTATTATGAATATAAATGTTTATTGTTTCGTAATGAATATATTTTTAAATGAGTTTTATGTAAGCGCAAATAAATATTTATTAAATATACATAGTATATTGGCATCCGCAATATATTTAGCTCTAAGCATTGAATTTAAATTAAATAATTTAAATAGCGTAGCGCAGTATTTTTTGCGTAAAAATGATTATACAGTAATCAATTATTTATGGTAATTAAAACTAGAAAAATTGTTAAATAAAAAATTAGTAGAAAAGAGATCTGAAATGAAGAAAAAAAATTAGGGAGGAAGGAAAACCAATATTGAATTCCGCTTATTATTCTATTTTGTGTTTATCCATTTTTGAAATAAAAACTTTAATATTGAATATCATTACATTATTTCATTATGATAACATTCATCATTATGTACTGTACTTTATTAAATTATGCTAATTATTTTTTTAAAAATTTCAATTCTGTTTATATTTGTATTTGCAAGCAAATATGATTTAATGAACTATAATTAAGAAAAGTTAACAAAGGACGAAATTTTATACTGTGATATTTTTATGTATTAGTAATTAATGTGACTTGCATTTATTATGGTCGCTATTTTTTTCAGCAATGATAGTTCTCTATCAGTCTGATATGCTACACACAATATATATATATTTTTTTAAATCTAAAAGCTTAATAATTTATAATTCTAAATATTTCAAATTGAACAACTCACATCTTGATTTGAAATAAATATTTCTATTAAAGTCACTCTTTTAAAGTCCACAAAATATATAATAAAGATTTGGTTTTAAGTGCAGTTGGTTTTCTCATTACTAGCTTAGAATAAATATTTTGTTCTTGATTAAAAATAAATCTAGAACAAATTGATATCTCTAATCTAAAATAAATATTTCTACAGGTTTATTACTAAATAACAAATATTTTTTTATTTGCTGAACATTTGTAATCTTTTTGACTTTTTTATTTGAAAAGATCATTTTTAAAAAATGTAATTGTTTACTTGATATTTCTCATCAGGAAGAATGGTATCGAACATTCTTCTAAAATCTGAATATTAAAATGTATATTTACAGTATTATAGATGTTTACCGTAAAACGAGAGCAGTCCATTTCTTACAAAGTATTCCTTTGATTTGGCTGATTTTACTTACAACTTTACTACTTTCTCTTTAGATTTATTCTTTAAAAAATACGGTTGTGGATGAAATTTTTTGCCCCTTTGACATCTAGTATATTATATTTCATTATTATCACGTGGGATAAATTATGTTTAATTAAAATAAAATTACGTTGTTCTATTAATTAGCTGTCCACATGCCTTCTTTAGCGAATTTAGTCAAGATGCACATACTGTTTTTTTAGCTTCTGTCAGCAGTAAGCTTCCGAATCCCATGAGTAATAATTCTTATCAAATAGCTCTTGTAGATAAAGATAATTCAGCAATATAGTTTTTTTTTCAATTCACTTCTGAATTCTGTTGTTGTGGACTAATGATTTCTAATGTAGAATTTATCCAAATAAAAATTCTAAAGTGCATTTTTTCTCTATTAGTATTAAAATTTTTTAGTATTTTTATTAAATATGTTATTATCTAATGATATTTTTTATAAAATAATACTTGAGAAAGCTTTAATAATTGCACTCCTTTTAAAAAATGGAATTGCTTTTTTATTGAGAATTAATAGAGAAAGTTTATCAAGACTAGGCAAAGTAAAGTAAATGGACAATGAATAAAGTAGATCTACCCACATTTAAGTATGAAGTCATATATTATAGTATAGTTATTTAGTTTAGTAAATTAATTATGTAATAATTAAAAAATGCTTTTACATCCATACAGTATAGTAAATATATATCTGTAGTTTAAACATTTATTTATTTTATTTTACATTTAATTAGAATTGTCGATGGACAATAGATTTATTTATTTATAAATATGTTCATATTTATACATTTTAAATTTCTTTAAGTTGTTACAATATTTTGTGTCCATATAAATAAAAAAGATGTATTCTATATATTGTAGCAATACCGGAAGCTGTCGTAATCTCATTGGTGTTGATGTTACTTCAAATTTTTCGCCGATTTTATGAAAGTTACTTCATTTCTGTATTTTCGAATGCTAAAATGAATCTAATACATTACATTTTTTCTTATTGTTATTATTTTGGAGTGGGTCTTTCTCTTCTTTCTGAAGCACCTGGATTTACGAAGCCAGGTAGGATTTCTATTATTTTAATATTTTTGATAACTTAAAAATTAATATTTAAGTTAGTAATTAAATTATAATTAAAATTACGTTTTTCGATGTAGAATAAATAAATTTTAATTTTAGATGGAATAAAAGATATTAATTTCTCTAAAAATTGGCTGAAGATAAATCATTTGTTGGGTGTCGCGCTTTTCTTTTGGGCTTGGAATAATCAACATAAATGCCTTGAGACACTAGCAGAACTACGTAAAGATAAGAAAGGTAATAACATCCTTTAATATTTTAATTAATAATACAAATGGTATTTAATCGAATTAATCAATATTTTAAAATTATAATTTTTATTTTATCTAGGTACAGTTACGACAACAAAATATTCAGTTCCAGAAGGTCATTCGTTTGATTTTGTGACTAATCCACACTATCTATATGAAATAATTATATATTTTGCAATATTAATAGTTTTAGGTTTTAACAATGTAACATGGTGGTTACTATTTCTTTCGGTTTTTAGTTCTCATATTTTTCTAGCGGCTGCTTCACACAAATGGTATCAAGAAAATTTTCCAAAATATGCTAAGTCTCGAAAAGCGATAATTCCATATGTATTTTGAAGATTTTAATTGTGTTTACTGTATTTCCACGATTAAACTCCGAGAGGTTATTATCATCATAAAAAGTACGTATTTTCCGTGCTTATTTGAAGACACGGGCTTTTTTAGTTCGGAGTTTATTACCTTGCAACAAAAGATAAGTGGATAACAATTGAAAAAATGCCTTAATTACTCGTACATTTTCAGAACTATCAAAACTATTTGTTGATAGTATTTACGAATTATAGCTACAACAATTGTAATAATTATTATTTTCATAATTAACTCGATTCAGTCTTCCAGTTCGGTTAATATGTTGTCATTCGTGTCTGTTTCGATGTCGTTGAAGAAATCAAAATCTTGACTATTATCTTCGGATTTCAAATTCACCATCTCTTTTGGAAAGAAAGATGATGAGTTTGAACCAGAGTTTTCCTAATTACTCTTTTGTTTCGATTGATAAGATCAGTCGAAACAAAAGGGTAATTAGCGACTTTCCCACGTACAATAGCCTATTCAACAAGTATTTATAATTTTATTTCTCAAAAGCTGTTTTCCGTGAATCTTGGAATAAAAAGTGCTGTTCGACTCTAGCAACTCGAAGAGGTCGAATTTTAGTTAAACTCCTTATCTGCCGCTCAAAATGTACATTATCCTTTAACATATTTCCCATGCTTTTCAATCCGTGGTATAATCGAGGAAACGCTGTATTGATATGTCTATTGGTATATGGTATATATATAAATTGTTTTTAATTAAATATGTAATAATAATTTTATTTTCAACGAAGACTTGACTATAAAAATAAATATACGGTCGACCCCCCCTATAACACGGTAGATACGTTCTGGGTTTTATGAATCCATTTACTACGAGTCCTTGCCAATCACAGCCCGGCACGTATGTACTGTACTTTACGGACTACGGCTGTTTGGAAGATTTCTTCCATAAAATTAATCGATTCTAGACTAATTCGACTCAACATTTCCAAAATACGTATAATTTTTAGGGAATAATCCATATAAACTATGCTATAAACAAAAAATTGTAGGATTACTTACCGAGTGTGTACCGTTCGACAACGTCATGCAATGACGAAAGCTTTCTGAGAAGTTATTTTTCTGCGAAAAATTCGCTGAACTTTGGAGACATCATTAATATAAATAATTTTTATGGCCGTTGAATAAGAAATGTTTTTTTTCACACGAAAAGTATAAAATTACAGTACTGTATTAGACTTACAGTACCTAACTTAGGCCTATACACTGTACAGACGATAGTAAACTTAACTTACCCGCCTAAACTCTCCGTAGGGTGTAAGTAGTTCGGCTGTTCGTCTACTATTGGTCCAGATTCGACCAATCCTGTCGCGACCTGTATATGAAATTCTGTATATTCGTATAGCTGGGATATGTAGCAATGTTCGAACGACTGTAATTTTTCCAATAAAATGATACATTTGTGTAATTATAGTATTGTTCTATTTATTACAAGAGAAAATCGATTGTCTTGAAAAATAATAAGTTCTAAAATTTTAAAGTATAGTATACTTGTGAGGACGTGTTCCAAAATATACCTGTGTCCCTTCTGCATCGTCTAAGGCAGGGGTGTCCAACCCGCGGCCCAAGGCAAGTTTCAATGCGGCCTAATAAACGAGTAAACAAAACCGACAAATTGTTTTATTTATTTTTTATTTCAACGGCATAAACTGAAAAAAGAAGTTTCACAAAGCGGTAAACTTTTATACATATTTTATTTTTGAGTGAAAAGGAAATATTTTCCAATACTTGAAGATGTGTGAATGGCGAAGGAATACTAAATAAAGCTGCTCAAAGGTTTATATACCCAAATTTCAGAAAAGGAGAAAAAGGCCAAAAGATAAAGAAATGAGAAAGGTTAAATAGACCTTCTTGTTATGCAAATATTGACCCTTAATTTTCCAACCTTCCTCACTACTTTTTATCTTTTGGTCTTTCTCCCCTGTTCTCAAATTTGGGTCTAAAATCCTTTGAGTTACAACTCCAGCATTATTCAATATTCTTTCCAGCATTGCAAGATTTGGCTACCCTTTTTTAGTTTTTTAGTTTGGCGTAAAAATTATCATTTCGCGCATTGGCTACTTTCTGGGCTACATATTACAGTCGACCCCCTATAATTACGGTCCCAATAATTACGATTCCTATAAAACTGCAAAAAAATTGTAACGATATCCGTAAAAAACAGTAAAAACCCCCTATAATTACGTTAAACGTCATCGGGCAGCCGAACTACTTTCCCGCCGTCCGTAGCGCCACGCTACGGAGAGA